TTAATATAACTATAATTTGACATACAAATATTTTTCTCTTTGCTTTTTAAGATGACTTAAATGGTATTTGTTTATTTATTTGAATTTAAATGTTAAACTTAAATGTTAAAGTTTTAGACGTGGTGAAACATAGAAGAGAGTGAGGAATACAGGATAGGGCAAGAGAAGGAGTTGGGCAAAGATAGGGTTTCAGGAGAAGTTTAGGGCTTTACAAGTGAATAACACTAGAGGATTTCCCCCTCCCTGTAGGCAAGGGGTTACGCTGTTACCCCTACATCAGTCAGTCAATGGCTACAGGCCACCAGCACTCTGCAGGGGCTAACTATCCATGTTGAAGACCTTATCCTTTTTGCTAGACTTACACAATTCCAGTAATCTTTGTTTGTTTCTCCTCAGTCATTTACCAGCCACATATAGACCTGTTTCATCAATATAATTTCAAACTCCAAAATAATTCTGTCTGATCAGAGTCAACTTCCTGCCACTTCTGCTCTTTCTCTTCCCATATCAAGCCTGCCTTCACCTTCACAATGACCTCTGTTCCCTCTCCCCACTCCCTTCTCAGCCCTCTGTCCACTCCCCTCAATATCACTTACTCCCATCACCAGTCTGGACCACATGACCAAACATGACTCTCAAACCATCATTCTTCATTTAAGATACACTGCCCCCCCATCATTTTGTCATTGGTTCATTTGCATAGACTGTTTCCTCCAAATGGAATGCCAGTTTCATCTTCTTGGCCCAACAAACTCCTACCTCCTTTCAAGAACTATCTGAAGTGTCTTTTCATCTGTGAAGATTTTTTTTATTTCCCCTAGCAAGAGTCCAGTGCCCGAGCGGGCATTTGCTGTTTGGTCGCTTCTGATCATCCATTTTACTTTTCTCACCCTCTCAATTTCTTTTTGAGGAATTAAGTCTTCCCCAGTGGATATATTCTTACAGGAAAGTAATGAGAACCTTTGTCTTCCCTGAATAGACCCATTATACTTGCCATGGAGTCTGGAGCAAAGAGGGGAAGATCCTAAAAGGACTGGATTTCAATCCAGTCCTATAGCAATATCTGTCTCTGCTTCTAGAAAGCTCTGATTCCTGAGACCTACCCCAGTGAGTTTATGAGTTTCAGTGGCCTCCCAATAAGTTGCTTTTGCTTAAGTCAATAATATTAGGTTTCTGTTGCTTACAAAGAAGGCTCCTATGCTCTCATAGTGCCTTATTACAGAGTGCCTACCACATGGCATTGTAGTTTTTGGCAAACATGTCTATCTCCACTGCCAGGCTCAAACAGTGTCTCCATCATCTTTGGAAACACAATATCTAGCATTGTGTCTAACACATGATAAATATTCAATTCCTACCAATTAAATGGACAAGTAAATGTATGAATGACAGATACTAAGTTGTTTCCAGCTCTTTCCTTTTCCATTAATATCTGCAGCAAGCGAGCTCTTTTTGTTCCAAAGCTTTGCTTTGGAATTCATTATCAACAAGAGGATTTTTCTTGAATGCCACAAAAACAGGTTATAGGGATTAAAGAATAGACTTGATTAGAGAATTTTATAGATGAAGGGTCAGCAAGAGAACACATAGAATTCCAGTTCTCCCATCATCTTACAGAGAGGTGAGCTGGGTCCTGGGATTGCTGGACACATGGAAAGTCTACCTACTACACTGCCTACCTAGAGTATAATCATGATAAAATGACCTTGTCAGAGGTGGACTACTTGGGCACCCAGCTGCCTGGGCAAGTCAGATGTCCAGCACCTGGAGACCTTGGGAGCCAATGGGAAATTACATGCCCTCCTATTTTTAGAAGGTAACCACTGATCTGATAGGAAGCTGAGTTGGGTGCATCCCTTCCAGTAGGAAGAAAGAGCAGCTTGTTTTCCATGTAATCCAGAGTTGGCATCTGTATTAGTTTGCTAGGGAGGTCATGTTAAAATACGACAGGCAAGGTGGCTTAAACAACAAAAATTTATTTTTCACAGTTCTGGAGGCTGGAAGTCTGTGATCAAAGTGCCAACAGAGTTGGTTTCATTCTGAGGCATCTCTCCTTGGCTTCTCAGTGTATCCTTACATGGTCTTAGTGCCTGCATCTCCCTGATGTCTCTTTCTCTTCCTATAGCGACACCAGTCATATTGGATTAAGATCCCACCCTAATGGCCTCATTTTAACTTAATCACCTCTTTAAACACCTTATCTCCAAATAAAGTTACATTCTGAGATACACTCAACATATGAATTTAGGGGGACACAATTCAGCCCATAACAGTATTCAAGTTAGGTATGAAATGATAATTAAGACTGCGGATGTAATAACATGTCAAGAACTTTCTATAAATTATGTCTCTGGCAAACACTGAAATACAAATCCATCTAGTTGAAGTACTTCCCATACTTGCTGCTCTCTGGCACACCTACTGTGCCCTCTTTTACTCCTGATGCTCATTCCTACCACCACTCAGGTTAGCTTCGAGCCCTTATCAGGAAAGAACAACAGGCATCCACTATTTGGCTGTTGAGAAGACTCCAGATTTGGGGCACCTGGGTGGTTCAGTCGATTGGGCAGATTTTTGACTCTTGATTTTGGCTCAAGTCATGATCTCACAGTTCATGAGCTCAAGCCCCACAGTGGGCTCTGTGCTGACAGCGGGGAGCCTGCTTGGGATTCTCTCTCCCTCTCCCACCACCTCTCCTCCCCTCTTTCTGTCTCAAAATAAATAAATAAACTTCAAAAATCATCTTAAAAAAAAGAAGAAGAAGAAGAAGATTCTGGATTCAGGAAGGTTCTTTACGTCAAGTTCAGAATAATATCCTCGAGTCATTTCCTGACTATGCTTTCCCCAAATTTGGAAATTGTTAAACCATAAAAAGGAAATTAAAGTGTTGTCAAGAGAATTTTATTTGATAATTGAGCCCTCTTATTGTAAAGAAAACTGTTATTTCAGTACATTTGGGAAGTCAAAAATAGAATTACAAATAGAAGTAAAAACCATGGGTGGAAATCTGTAGTGGTGTATCATTTCTCATATGTATGTGCATGCAGAGTCAACCTTTCAAAATGGATTTTTGCTCTTTGAAAGCATGATAATAGGAGAAATTGCTATTCAAATCAAAGATTGGTAGGTTTTTTTCCCATTATTTTTCCTCTTTAGTCATGACTATAGATAACATATAACTCAAAGCAAAAATTAGATACTAAAAGTGTCTGGTGTTACTGAATTGATTGGATACTTGAAGCATTCGAAATAATTGCAAATTAACTTTTAAGTTAAAACAATTTTTTTAATTTAAAAAAGAAATTGAACAACTCTGATGGTTTGTCAGGGAGAAGAAAAACAGGAACCACTTAAAGATTTTTGTAGTCTTCTTAATGAGGCATCAAACCTCAAAATGCCTCTCTTTTTAAATGGTTTCAGGCATGTTTCACCTAATCAGAGGTTTCACTGAGTGTCATAATGGACTTCAAGAGGCACTGTGATGTGGAAGGGAGTGTGAGTGTGTGTGTGTTGCACATGTGCACATGCACTGTGTGGGTGTAGTAGGAGCTGTAAAGCTGACTCTCCCTCCAAATAGCTTTCTGCATCTGTAAACTGATGACAATGGTTTGAAAATTGTGAAGTGTTATATAAGTGTTTGAGAAATATTATTGTAGCAGGTAAAATTCCATTTCTTTATTTAAATCCTATAAAATTAATTCTGAGCCCTCTTCCCAACACGGCAAGTTGTTATTGGTACTCTCTCTCTGTGTTTTCCCCAGGGTCTCAGAAAGGTTGTTGGGGAGGAGGAGGGAGCCTTGGGCAGAGCAAAATTTTCAGGGAGATTTTCTCCTCCAATCCTAGATGCACATTGGATATCTAGGCGATGTCCATTTCTCGGTCCTCATATTCTCTTGGAATCTTATAGCTCTAAGGTTTATGGGCCATGTTCAGACAAGGGAGTCTGCAAGATGAGACCTTGGTGCTCAGATCATTTCTTTAGAGTACACCAAGCAGCCCCTTCCCTGAAGACCTTCTGTCCTGCTTTGTACTTGTGGAACCTTGCATCGCTTTCCCAGACTGGGGAGCGTCCTTCTCCTTCCTACCATCAGAAGCATCTTTCTATCTCCTCCACCCTCCAGACGCTTTAACAAAAGACAGGAAGAGGATACTTTTGTAGACAGCTTTGATCTTCTGAACAAAACCAAGGTGATCTTGAAATGCAGAGGTTAAAAAATAAGGAGAGTGTAAAGGAGGAAAGGAGGTTTTTTCGGTTGGTTTTTTAATTAAATTGACATAAGTCAAATTAATAGAAAAACAAATCTAATTTTATGTGGGTGAGTAAGGCTTATAAACCATCCTGAGGAAGTAAGGGACTAGGGCTTCAAAGGAAAGGAAGACAATTCACAGGAAGATGGGAAGAGCAAATGTTTGATAAACAAATGATTTTCATGCCATGTAGAGACAATAGGACAGGGAGGAATTGGAACAAACATGACCTACCAACTTCCCCTATCTTACCACACCTAGCCCATACTCTGCATGGTTATCTCTGGTGATAGCTATCTTCCTGGACCAGGCCCTCTATCTAAATTCTTATGGGCAGTTAAGGGGGAGGTAAAAAGCTCTTCTTGAGTCTTTCCAGCCTTGAATGTCTTCAGCTCAAAATAATCCACATGCCGAAATGACACATATTAGGGAGGTTCATCTGAACCCCCTCATAAGAAAAACCCAAACTAATATGGCAGCACATTATTTTAAACATATAAAACATGGGGCACCTGGGTGGCTCAGCTGGTTAAGTGTCTAACTCTTTATTTCAGCTCAGGTCATGTTCTCATGGTTTGTGAGACTGAGCCCCATGTCAGGCTCTGTGCTGACAGCATGTAGCCTGCTTGAGATTCTCTCTCTCTCTCTCTCTCTCTCTCTCTCTCTCTCTCCCTCTCTCTGAAAATAAATTTAAAAAAATAAAATATAAAACATAAAAATGATGTTATTTTTCCTTGTTTGCCCATATATAGTAAGAAAGCAAGCAAAGAAAAATTTCACAGATGAAGGAGACCAGCTGTTTAAGATGGGCATCAAGATTCTCCAGCAGTCTAAAAGCCAAAAACAAAAAGCAGAGTAAGTCTTTATCCAGTTATTTAAGCCAACTTAAATTCCTGGCTGAGAAAAAAGAACAATTCAAAATCTCGTTTGTTGTTAAAAGCTTATTGGGATAACAAATAAGTTTATTTGCCCATAAGCTTTTGTTTTGAAAAGGATCAATTGATGTTTAAAGAATCCTACAAATTACCAGCCTAAACAAACAGAATTGTATATGAAATTGTGGTCCCTACACTTTAAGTGAAATGCAGAGTTAAGGCACTGATCTGAGTATTCAGGCAAGAATATTCTGTTTTGACTTTTATTTATTAGGTATTTCAAATAAAATAAAATCTGTTATTTGAATTAGAGTGGTTGTTTTAGAATGCTTTATTCTGCCTAACTCAGCATTTATAGAGCACTTTGTGGTTTTCAAGGCACTTTCATGTATGTGATTCCATTATATCCCAGAACAGCCTTATGAGTTAAGAAGAGCTTCATGTTCCCCCTACTGTAAACAGCTGAGAATAGAGATTCAAAGATGTGAGTGAGATGATCACAAGTACACAGCTGGGATGTAACCAAGCTGTGGCCACATGGTCTCACTCCATCATTTCTCTTTTTCCTTGTCTACTTTGTCTGATGGGGAGGAAGAAATATCTTGTCCCCAGAGTAGAGAGACGCAACATGAGGTCACCCCTTAAGTCTCTAATTAAAACCTTGGGATCGAATCCTAGCTGTGGCATTTACTGGCTGTGTTATCCTGGACAAGTTACTTAACTGTGCTCTGGACAGTGCAGTCAGGCTCTTAGGAGGATGCCCAACACATAGTAAGCAGAAGATAAAGATTTGTTATTTTTATCTCTAGTCCTCTAAATGGTAAGAGGAAGAAGGTGTGGGAGAGAAGAAAACAAGTGTGTCCCGAAGCAATAATAATAAAAAGAATGGGCTCTGTACCTCCAACTAGGAGACATCTTCTGTTTTCACACAAATTGGGCATACCAGCTCCGGGGAAAGCAGCCCAGTGCTGTGGTAGCCGACCCTAGACAGGGCAGCAACAGAGCTCCTGAGTTCTTTCTTAAAATTCAAAGCTTCCCAAAAGAGCATAAGAGTATAGAGGGTAAAGGGGCACTCGACTGTAAACAACCTCCATTTATTAAACTCCTTCTTTGTGCTAGTTATTGTTCTGGGTATTTATGTATAGAATATCATTCATTGCTCACAATGAGTCATAAATTATTATCCCCAAATTATACAGGAGTAAATGGAAGGTCAAAAATATTCTGTAATTCTTCCAAAGCAGCAAGAAAGGAGGTAAAGGAGTTGGACCTCTCTCTAGGGAAAGTTAGAAGCTCCTTATAAGAGCAAAGGAAACCATCCCCTACAAAACCTGGGTGTCATGCTGAGCATGTCTGGGGGCTATCATGATGAGTATGGGGTTAAATCAGACCCCCCAAAATACAATCTGGCCTGCTATGGAAGTCTGCTCATTCATGTGCTCACTGAATGAAGGAGTAAGAATAAAGAATTCTCAACCCAGCCCACCTAGATGAGAGAACAATGGAATTCTGTAAAGGGGCTGGTCCCTCAGATTTCAGGTTAATAGCAGATGAGCCCAAGATGAAGGCCCACTGGATATACCCTGTTAAGTTCAAGGAAACCCTAGATTCAGTCTAAAGGGACAAAATCACTCTTAGAAGCTCCCAAGTAACTATCCACTTAACCTTGATGGGTGCCTTCCTCTTTGGCTTAAAGAATGGGAGGAAACCCCAGCTCTGAAAGCAGACCATCCAGCAGTGCAGGAACTTACATGCCTACCTAGGTGTCATTCAATCTCAGGCTATTTTTGCCTAGCCTATCCTTGCTAAAGAGTTCCGGAAGAGCAGCTTTTTTCTTTCTTTCTCTCTTTCTTTTTCTTTCTTTCTTTCTTTCTTTCTTTCTTTCTTTCTTTCTTTCTTTCTTCCTTCCTTCCTTCCTTCCTTCCTTCCTTCCTTCCTTCCTTTCTTTCTTTTTAAGATTTTCTTTTTAAGTAATCTCTACACCCAGCATGGGGTTCGAACTCACAACCCCAAGATCAAGAGTCACATGCTTCACCAACTGAGCCAGTCAAGCACCCCAAGAGCAGCTTATCTTTGCAGTCGCATAGATACATGAGAAGGTGCATAAAGCTGAGTCCCCTGACCCTTCCCAGTTGGTAGATAGAGAACTGAAACCAAATCTGTTCACAGCAAGAGACTTCAGGAATTTGTGGGCAAACTGAGTGAAATTCCTTCAGTTATCAGGACGGTCAAGCCAATTACATCTAATATAGCCATCTCTAAGATTCTGGTCAGAGGACAGAAAAAACACCCTACTGACCACAGAGGAATCATTTCTCTCCCATTCATTCCTCTATCCTATGCCCTCCTTGTCCACCACTTCTTGTATAAGATAAAGGTGCTACCAGTCCTTTTGGCTCATCGACACCCACATCTTGACCCCATTCATTCACTAATTCATTCAGCTACAAATGGTCAGTAGTGCTAGAAGTAAAGATGTTAAGCGAGCATATGTCAGGGAGACACAAACCTGTCTGCAGGAATCAAGAAGCCTTGGAGACAGCTGGAGTTAGCTGTCATTAAGAATTACTCTCCATTAACAAAGAAGATTTGGAAGTAAGCTGCTGCCCTACGCCAGGTTTCTAATGTATCCTAGAGATGCATTTAGTCTCCTTCTTCCCCAGCACCTACCTTAGCATCCAATACCAGATTCTTTAGAAATTTTCCAGATACCTAACTAAACTTCCTTTTGGGGATCTGCTAATGCTGCCCAGTTTCTCCTACATTTTCCATCTTGGGGATTACAGCCCAGATCTTAATCCTACCTAATGTACCAACAACTTTCCTCAGCCCTGGGTCCTACTTCTAGTATTCCTTATGTCACCTTGGACTTTCCTGACAGGGGACCAGAGACACCTAGAGGAATTGATTTTGCAACATTTTACTGGCCCCTGGGATCAGCAAAGGCTCCTGCAGCCCATCTCAAGTTTCTCTGCCCTGTTCCATGTTGGTGCCCTTCTAATCCCAGCAGGCTATGTGGTTGCAGCAGCAAACCATGTGACAGAAGGGCTTCAGGGAATCTGTGTCCTGATGTCATGCCTGCCCCGGGATGCCAGACATCTGTACTCACTGGCCTTTGAGACCTTCTGTCTTATTTGCCTTCTGGTCCCCAGAATCTCAGCTTGCTCTGACCATGGTTAATCTCTGGCTTCTTTTGTTTCACTGGAGTCTATTCACTGTGTTGGCATCTGGAACCCTAATGCCTATGTAGCTATCATTCAGTCCAAGCCCATTATACCCTGCTCCAGCCACCAAGAACAGATTCGTTTAGCATCGGCATGGACAGGCGGTACATAAAGCTGAGTCTCCTGATCCTTCTGAGTTTGTAGTAATGGTAGATTCGTGTATTTGTTCCTATATTGGAATCAAGGTCACCAGTAGAAGTTGCTTTCTTGTCTTACCGGTACCAAAAAGGAAATTATAAAAGTAAAAATAAACCCCAAAAGTACTCTCTGTCTCTGACACAAGTTTTGACCTTGAAAGGCTCTCCATCACTACTTGTTATACACATCAGGTCCAGGTGATTTCTGACTGGGATTCAGAAAATACAGTATAAGGCAATCCTATGGCATCTATCACTAAGCTTTCACACCATTTACCCACAAATTACAGGAGAACAATTGCCATGCTATGAAACTTTAGAATTTATGCAATTGTCATTGTCACCGTTGTCATCATCATCATCATAGTTAAAATTTTTTTGGTGCTTACTATGTACCAGGCACTAATGCCAAGCACTTCATTTGGAGTATCTCACTGAATCTTCTCAGCAACCCTATGAAGTTAGTGCTATTATTATCCCTACTCCATAGATGAGAGAAGCACAGAGAAATTAAATAACTTGCCTGAAGCTCCCACACTAACAAGTGGTAGACACAGATTTTGAACCAGGCAGTCAGACTTTAGAGTCCTACTAACCATTGGGTTTTATTTGGTTATTGTTTTTCCACATGGTGCTGAAGAACATGTTCTGTTTTAGAAAAATTATTTCAGAATATAAAGGGACTTTTGTTTTCATGATAGTAGCTCTCTACATGTGACATTCCAGTTTTGATTATTTTTTATTGGTTTTGATTATATTCTTACATATTTCAGAGTTCATTTTGTAAAATAAATACTCCTATAATGTGGGTGGCCATGGGAAAGTTCACTTTTAGGACAAGGGCCTCAATATTTCACTTCACTTGGTGAATAAGCTTGAAACATATTTCTCCTTTTTAGCAGCTTCACTGTTTGTCAGATATATTTGAAATTGTCATCTTAGATAATGTAGGGCTGGAAAAAAACCTACTGGTCTATAGATGTGATGGACTTCAGCTAAATTTTATTGTTAGCAGCAATGACAACTTGGTCCTACTTGTTAGAAGTAGTCTGAAGGAGGGAGCAGAAAATTTCATTTTTGATAATCAAACCTCTACCTTCATATTTTTTAAACAGAGCCTATGTATTCTTTGCCAAAGCAGCTAACATGGGAAACTTGAAAGCTATGGAGAAAATGGCCGATGCTTTGCTATTTGGAAATTTTGGTATGCAAAACATAACAGCAGCTATCCAATTATATGAGTCCTTGGCTAAAGAAGGATCATATAAAGCCCAAAACGTGAGTTTTGAACAAAAAGTAAACCTTACATAGTAGATAAATGACATGTGAAAGGAGTTGGGCAATAGTATTCCCTCTCTACCACATGAACACAGACCTAGGGAAGTTACCGTAATGCACTGAAATAGTAGTATCGGCGTAGGGACATAGCAAGAGCCCTGGGCAAATTCTTCCAGTTACATAGGTAAATGTCAGGAATGGAACAGAACTGCTCTCTAATTCAGCCTCCCATCTTAGGTCCATGGGTGTGTTTTGAAATAATTTGAGAACTCTGAACCCCTAATATAGTTACATTTAAATTTCCTTTTCTATTTTACTAATGCATTTCATTTTATTCAAAGAATAACATAAGAATTTCATAAAGTATCTGGAAAATAGATAGATAGATAGATAGATAGATAGATAGATAGATAGACAGACAAACAGATAGATAAAGCAAGCCCTTCGCAAGCCAACCATTCTGACTCAACTACTGATAGGACTGCTTTATATTTTTGCTTGGCTTCTTCCTCATGCACCTCTCTTTTTACATCATCTTAATCACAACACAAATGCATATATAATTTTGTTTCTGGCTACTTTCACTTAATGCTACACCAAAAGCTTGTTTTCATCTTGTTAGTCTTTTTAATAAAAACATTTATTTCTGATTACAAAAGAAATTCATTCTCATTACAAAAAAAAAAAAA